TAGTCTATTAGAAAATAGCGGTTATCGACAATAATTACTATCTCACAATTAACATTGAGCTCAAAGTTGAAATTTGCATTTAAAATTTTGTAAATGACTCTGAAATATCAATTAGAGGTCAAATAACGAACTTGAATGGGCGTTCGAACTTATGTTTCTTTAATCTGCGAAAGTTCATAATTTTAGTCTGAGGTCTGTAGCATCAATCGTTCGTGAGTTATGGCTGAAAATATGCACAAAATGATGAGAAATGCCCGGTTCAATTTAGGAAAAGGCAAAGGCCTACCAAAAGCTGTAAGTGAAGAGAGACAGAAGGCTGAGATTCCTTGCAATTTGATTAGAACATGAATTTTCGGCAAATTTCGAGCTTCTTGTCATTTCAATTTCGAGATTTGAGTTTTATTCTGAAAATAAACAATTGATTCAACCTTTTGTCATTCAAGTTCATTACCGCTTGTATCAGGAAGGGAATTTCACATTTTTATCATTTTTTTGTATAAATATTTTTTTATACTTGAAATGCTTCTCATTGCAAACATTTTTCCACTTTTCTCAATATTACTTTTGAGCTTGACTTTTGTATACTTTGTTTCACCTTTGAACATTTTCACCATTCTCATTGAATGAATTTAAACTGCAAAAAGGTATTTTCATGATAAATTTTCCACCTTCATACATTGATGATCAAAGTGAATTAAGGGAAAAAAATTCACAGAATAATAATCATTGGATGATTTGGATCAGTTGTGATTGATAAATGAATGTGAACATTTTTTCTTGAAACTTTCTTGAAACCTTTTGCACAGTTTTACCAATAATAATTTGTGACTTAATGATGTTCACATGGTAATAATGTTTGCCAATGAAAGGCAATAATAATAATGGAAACTGACAAAATAATATCATTACTGGTAATAACAATTTTCCTGCCAGTTCAAACAGTTTCATGATTATTTTCATTTTTCAATTCTTGCAATTCTTCCCAAGCATCAAGTTATAAGTCAATGTGAATAAGTTGAACATTGAAGGAAGAGAAAATTTGAAAATCGAAAAAATATTCAGGAAAAACTTTACATATTTTAAGATCTTTTATCAGCAAAAATAAATTCTTAAATATTCAAGATAAAAGTTGGAAAAAAGTTGAGCAATGATCAAATTGATCAGCATTTCAAAGCTCATCTTGAGTTTCCTGAAACTCTTCAAAAGATTACAACTTTTCATGATAATGAATATGAAAATATTGCCAAAGTTGAGAAAAGATAAAAGTTGGAAAAAAAGAGAAACTCGAAATGAAACTTCTCAGTGATTCAGAATTGACCTGGGAGTGAAATCACTTGGAATTTATTGAAGTTTCGAAAAAAATGATTCATTTTTTGCTCAATTTAAACCGACTTAAACTCGGACATTTGAAACTGCAATTTTACTCTTCTGTCCAAACCTCTAATTATGATTGTCATTGACTAAACCTGATTACGGATGAAATTTGAGTTGCAATTAAAGGTTGCCTTCAATTGATGAAGCAAATCAAATGCAAAGGTTGAAAGGCTTAAACATTTTTTGATAAACTGTCTTTTGTAATAAATGTATTATTATAAAAATGAAAGCTCCATTAACTTTGGATTTTCATGTTTTTTGTATTTCAGATTTTCTGTATCAATGAACCATTTCATTTTGCATTTAAATTATGAGAAAAGCTTAGGCTAAGCTCAACAATTGCCAAGTAAAATAATGACAAGATATTTTTAGTTCAATTCAACAGCAACTGTTGATTGGAAACTGAACAAGATTTACTTTTGATTTACAATTTTTTGAGACTAAAAATTGAATCTTAAATGAGTGAAACAATTAGGTGAATATAAATGATCAATAATGAAATGAAAATGTGAAGAGAAGAGTTGATGAGCAAAATATTGGTTCAACATTGAAATTGCCTTTTCTTGCGACTTTGGATGAGCAATTGGAATGTGTTCAAACTAATGTTGAGCAGTTGATTCAAATTAATGAATCAAATTGAATGGTTAATGGTGAATCGGTTTCGGTTAATAGTTACAGGTAACAATGGGAACAACAATGATTCCCAATGAATTGAAGAGAAAATGGAAAGAAAAAGAAAAGAGTTGAAAGATGAGAGTTAATACCATTTCTACTTCCTTTACGGAAGAAACAAATGATATGATGAGTTTCATGATAAATCAAGTTAATTCTTGTGTAATTACAAAGTTAAATTGGTTAAATCAACTAATAGCCGGAAACAATTGTCGTAGAGTCCAGGACAAAGTGAATCTCCATTTGGATGAAAATGAATCAAACAATTTTTCCAATCGACCATTCAAATTGTTATTGATGTTTAGTTAAAAATATATCAACATATCGACCCAATTCACATAATAATATTATTGATTGTTGTCACCCTCACGTATTGACCATTGAACAATCAATTGAACAGCAAACCTCACAAACGGTAAGTTAACATGTAAATGTAAAATGGTTCAACATTCAAAATGAATGTTAATATGAATAAAAGTAATAATAGTTTAATGATTGATTGAGATGAGCTGAAAATGGTTGAGAAAAAGATGAAAAGAAAATTAAATTGCAAACAATTAGCAGAATTAATTATTCATATTGAATGACATGTTGTATTACAAGTGAATATCAACTTTCAATTTTTTGTCTCGTTTCATTTTTTAGATTGTTTTTTTGGGTTCCTGGAAAATGTTGTCATGTTGATCAGGATTAATCTGGTTATTGATGATTTGTGTAAACAAGTGTTTCAACTGATCATCGTAATTAGGAAGATTGAAAGTAAAAGTGTCTAATATAATTAATCAGATAATGAAGCATCATGTGAGTTATTTAATGTAATATTCAATTATTCTCATGAAATTGGTTACATGGTTGGTTGATGATGATGGGAATCATCAACACTATTAGTGTATCAAGGGTTGAATAGAGGAAAGCTCTAGATTAGAATGGCGATTATTAATGAATCCATTTTTTTCTCGTTTCATCGTTATTCTTTACTCGATATTAATCAATTTTATCATGATGATGATGATGATGATGATGATGATGATGTTCAGCTTCAGTATTAGCAAATTATTTCCTTTTTTCTTCTCGTTTAATCGTTGCAAGTTACCATTTGTTTGTAAAAAGACAATCTTGTTTTGTTGTTACTTTCATTAGGTGTTGCATTTGATTGGAGAATAGGTTTGAGAGGAAAAACGGTAATTTATTTTTGCTCCATTGAATTGAGATGAACATGATTGTAATCTGTTTATCATGATAATGGTTTCCATAAAATTGGGTTCATTCAATGTTATTCATTTGTCTGTTTGTTCAACATTTGGCTACTCATTTGGTCCTTCAATTCATGGACAAAATCAAGTATTGAAAAAAAGACTCGCAAAATGAGGCTAAATTTGTCAACTTTTTGCGCTGATTAAAGTCACTTTGCAACAATTTGAGTAATCAATTTCATTTCGTTTTTTGTTGGTCAAAATTTTGTTCACCTTTTCATGCAATTTGCCTGATGGTGACTTTCAATCAGAAAACTTTTCACTTTAAATGTGAACTGAATAAATTTACTTTCTTTAAATATTCAACATGGAGAAAGATGAAATTGGAACAGAAAATGAACATTTATTTTCAAAAAATCTTGACCAATGAAAATTCAAGCGATGAAATTGAATTGAATTATCGAAAAACGCAAAATTCCAAAAATAATTGGCTGACAAAAGATGGATCAAGTTGAGTAGATCAGTCAACTTCAGGTTTACACAGGATACTGGACGAACTGAGTTCACTTCGAACTAGAATTTCAAGAAAAGTTGAGACGTTCTGAGGCGATGTTCAAAGGCACTTATTTACTGAAAGTGATAGAAGAAAAAGTGACTCAAGAGAAGCTGAATCGATTAGAAAGTCGAAAATTAAATTTTCGAAATGTTCTTCAAAAGTTGACTTTTCCATTGTAATTGAGTGCTTGAAATGGCCAATTGAAATATAAGATAAAGTCTGAAGTTTCGGTGAAAGGTAAACATTAAGTTTTCAATGTTTTAAAACAGACAAAACTTACAGTTTGATTGATTGTTTAAAATCTGAAAATGAATTTTTTTGTTGAAAATCGTTTTTCCAATCAAAAGTTTGAATAGTTGAAGTTTGGTCACACATGACTCTACTTACCGTTAATTGTTATCAATTGTTGATAATCAAATTACTAATTGTTGGCATAAAGAAGAAAAGTTTTCTCAATAATTTATTCACAAACAACAATCAAATCATTTGTTACTCTTCAATCCACTCCAACGCCTTTTCAAAATCACTTTCATCTCGTAGTTTGGTTTTGTTTTGTTGTTACCTTTTTTTTTGTTTCATCTTATTATCTATCATCTTCATCTTCATCTTGATGAGTCCTGTTATTGGTGCATTATCAGGATGATTGTTGTATCTTGAAAAGTGAATGATGAACAAACTAATCAACCATGTCAATCTGTTTCTCCTTTTGGTTCCTCTCCATTGTATTATATCAAGAAAAAGGGTGAAGATGAAGAAAGAAAGAAAGAAAGAGATGAAGCAAGATGAAGATAAGAAAGTGTAAAAGTAAAGGAAATAAAGATGATCAAGATGAAGAGGAAGAAGAAGTAGAAACCGAAATGGTTCATCGTTTTGTTGATTGTTGCGTGATGAAAATTGTGTGGTTTTGAATTGGTTTGTTTGGATGTTGGATGATTTTTTGATTGCTTTTGATGTTTGAATAAACACACACAAGTATTATTGTTATTAAAAATACAAACATTGATCAATTAATCCGTGTGAAGATGCGTGCCAAGTTTAAATGGTTTACTCTGTACAATCATATTAATAACGATTCATTGGACATTTATCTTGATACACTTGCAACATGAACACGATTCAATTTATCCCTTCATCATTAGTCTTCCATAGACTTTTTTCATCTGTTGGAATCAATTTCTCAGTATTAGCATAAATGATTTGGAATCTTTTTTTTGTTTGAAACTTTTCATTATTTAAAATGTTCACATTTTACATCGAGTTAAAAGTTTAGTATAAATTATCTAACCTTTTGCTTTCTTGTTGTAACAAGATGAGTGTTGAATGGAAAGGGTTAGGAGGGAAAGATGGAAAGATGAAGGATGAGGAAAAGGATGAGAAAAGGATGAGAAGGAAAAGAATGCATTTTTGCATTGGAAGATGATGGCAATTGGTTTCTCTCTCTCTTCAAGTGGCATTGGTTAGATTAAGTAATTGTCTTTCTTTAATTTCTATCTTGTCAATCAATTCCTTTTCCTCAACAATAAGTTTAGACTTTAATTGAATAAATCTAACGAAAGAGTCAACATCTTGACTTGATTGTTTAAAATATTTAACTATTATTTTATCCGATATGGTTTGACTTGTACGATCAATTGATTCCTTCAATGCAATTGCTTCCTCCAATTGTGCCAATAATTTGTTACGTTTCAATAGGAGAGATTCCAATTCAGGATTGACGTTCTTATTGCATCTATTATCAATCCTATTGTCCGAAAAGACTGAGGCACTCGCAGCTAAAGATGATGATGGATGCGATGATAACAGCAATGATGAAGATGATGCAGATGACGGTAATGGGTGATGGTTATTATTATTATTAGCATTAGCATTAATGTTATTATTATTATTATTATTATTGTTATGATTATTATTATGGATGGAAGTAACAAGACATCCAGATGATGAAGATGATGTTAAACTTTGCTTGTTGAAGTATAAAGCTGATGAACATGATGTAGATGAGGATGATGAAAATAAGGAGGAACTGACAAGCTTTTCACAACCAACATTATTATTATTGTTATGGGTTGAACCGGAAGGGTTACCACCTAGGGGTGAGGAAACATTTTTACTGTTGATATCGGCTTCAATTGATTTTAATCGAGTAGACAGGGAGAGTAAAAGTCGAGTTATCTTTTCAATCTCCTCTAAATGGATGGATATCTTTTCAGTCTCTTGCCACGTTAGACCAGCCTGGGTTAACCTTTCAACTAGACTTGCACCGATGGACTCGTTGGTTTGTATCTCACTTTGCATTTGGCTGTACTCGGCTCGTAGGCAGTCAAGGTGTTCAGTCAACTTTGGAATGGCTTCACTGGAATTGGACAAGATTGCTTGTCCACACATTGAATGGACTATGTAGGGACGATCAAGGGCCAGTTCAAGGGAGGAAGGTGATGATGTGGGTGACAGTGAACCACTGCTGTAACCATCTGAGCTTGCCGTTGAACTGCTGCCAATGGCTTCACCTCGTCCAATCACATTTGATTCATCACTTTCTTTGCACTCATTTGATTGCCTTATCAATTTAATGGTTGAATTGAGAACACAATTTTCATTGATTACATTTTTACTATTAATATCATCATCATCATTAACCCGTTGAACCTCATCAGATGCAATGGATCGTTTTACGCATTTATTGAATGGCGCCGAGGGAAAGGGGAATGAAAAGGAAGATGAGGTTGTGCTCATGGTGCTGGTTGAGGTACAATTTGGATCAATGGGAGTTGCTTGATATTGTCCCATTGAGGTTGATCCCGGTTGACGGAGGGACCACGATTCAGAGAGTTTATTAGCATCAGTTGACCGTAAATCACACAATGAATTGCCATTCACTTTATTCATCTCATTCTTGACTTGATTTGTTGGTGAAGATGATCGCCAGTTAACCATACCATTGGCTTGATATTGTCTGGAATCACTCAGCGAAACCGTGTTATCGGATAAGGCATTGTGTTTATGGGTTGTTGTTGTGATTGTTGTTGTTGATAATGGTGATGATGATGAGGTTAATCCACTAGCAATCATGGTGTTATAACAATTACTTGAATTACTTAAATGTGCACCACTAGACTTGAGAGTAGCATCTCTCCCATTGAAAAGTGGTTGGTTACATGAGACGCCATTTTCCGAAGCACAATTGTTGCTCAACCGAATCGGTTCATGATGTTGATGATTTGGCTGATGGTGATGATGATGATGATGTGCATGGTGACTTTGACCATTGTGATAATTGTGCTGGTTTGAACTGTGAACACGGACCATTGAAGGTGTGCCTGTTGATATTGACTCAATTGCACCAATGGACACTGGTCTTTGGTATGAACAAGTTGAAAGGGAATCAGTTGTTGGTGAGCAAAAATTAGTTACCCTGGACATGGTGAAAGTATCATCAGGTTGAGGACCAGTAAAGGAACCAGAAACCCTGACTTTCATTGAATGAGATCCAACAGAGGAAGAGGTTGTCGATGAAGGTGGTGGAGGCAGTGGAGGTGCAGGTAAAGGACAAGGGTTGAGAGTGAGAGGAGCAAGTGGTGGAGGTGGAGGTGGTGGGTAGTTGGGAAAAGAGGATAGAGATTCCATTTGAGTATCGGTTAAGTGATCATTTGTTATTGCATTTAAAAGCAACGGATCAGCCGGATGACCTGAATGACCATTGCTACTACTATCACTGCTGTTGCTACTGGTTGTGCTTTCACTGCTACTGCTAGTGTTGCTACTGCCAATGCCACTAGACGATGAACAGTTTGAGGTTAAGGTTCCACTTGAACCAGGCCCAGTAAAACAACTTTCAGAGTCTAGGGTATTTGAAGAGGCGTTTGACGGTGTCTTTGAGTGTAAAGCGGGTAAAGCGACTAAGGGTACAGAGGAAGAAGACAAAGGAGATGAACTTGAATTGGTAAAGTTTACATGATGGTTCAATTCAGTTTCAACAAGTTGACAAGTTGTCAAGGTTGCTGGAAATGATGATGAACATGATTTAGTTGGGAGTGGTTGACTATTGGTAATTTGTTGCTGTTGAAGGTGCATTGAAGTTGCAGGTAAAGGCGGTGGTGAATATTTTAAACCATTTACTGTTTTTGGTGCTACTAGTGTTTCTGAGTTAGTTGCTTGTTGAGCAGACGGAGGTTGTTGTGGTGGCATCAGTAAACAGCCAATATGGCTTTTCAATGGCAATGGTGGCAAAGGCGGCGGTGAAGATGATGCAGATGAAGAGGATGATGATGATGATGATGATGATGATGATGTAGTTGTGGTTGATGTCGAAGGTGAGGTTGATTTTGATGTGGGTGATAAGCAATTACTACCATTATTACCACAAACAAAACCGTTACCAGTGTGCAGTTTAGGTGGATTGACGGAAACAAGTGAAGATAAAATGGTTAAAGATGAAGATGTTGCAGTTGATGTTGAACAATGGTTGTTGTTGGCGGTCAATCCAGTATGGTTTCGAGATGAGGCTGAAGGTAAACAGTTGAACGATTCTGACGTATTAGTGAAGCCATTTGATGGATTGGATACAACTAATTCGACCTTGCTCGATGAAGCCTGTAAACAAAAACAATAACAATACGGACAAGGTGTCAATCAAAATGTGATTTTGTGCTTTTGCTTGTGTTGCATCAATAAGAAGAAAAGGAAGAGAAGAGAAGATGAAGATGAAGAAAAAAGTAGAAAAGGTAAAAGAATGATCAACAAGATGAAGATGAAATCAGTAAACTAGTAAAAGATGTAAAAGGCAATTTATTCACAGTAAATACAGCAAAGAGGCTTCCCGCTTTGTGTGCATTTATGATGATGGTGATGATGATAAAAAGAAGAAGAAGAAAAGATGAAAATGAAATAGCAAAAGAGAGGAGCAAAAAAAAAAGCTAAATAAAATACACAAAAGTGAGATAAACAAGAAAATAGATGAAAAGATAGTAAAATAATGATATCCAGTGAAATGTGAGGCAAGATGAGATTCATGGATGAAAAGGTGGATTGGTGTTCATGACAAGCCAGAAAAGATGAGGATGAAAAGGAGAAAATGTATGTGACTTGTAAATAGGAAAAGATGAATTGGACATTTTTTTTCCTTCTCTCTCTCTTCGAGTTCATCTTCATCTTGAAAAGAGAAAGCAAGATTGAAAAGATGAAAATTGTTTTCTTCTTGTTTACTTCACCGTCTTCCTTGAAACGTTTGTGTCTCTTCTTACATTCATAATATTCAATCATTTTTTTACAACAAACCTTAAATCTTCACAGACAAAAAGCTTTTTAAATAACATTTATATAAAAATTGTTATAAAATGGGAAATTAAAACGCCCTGGAAAACGCAGCTAATCTTGAATCAGATTGAAAACCTTATGGTTTATCAAATGAAGATAACAGTAGGTGAGAGTTGCTTTTTTGTGGTTCATTCTGGGATGAAAGAAGAAGATAAAAAGAGAAGAGAAATTGATCCTTTTATCATCTTTCGTTTTTTTTGGGGCTAAGATTGGTAGGTTGAGTATTTGTGTAGGATGAAGGACAGATGAAACAAATGTGATGGATAAAAAAGAAATGTTGAAGATGATGAAGAAGAAGAAGAGGAAATTGAAGAGAGAAAATAATCCCTAAGGAATCAGATAAGGAGTGATCTTTTGACCAGCATGGGATGACATGTGAGATTCAATGAGCCAGACTAATCAAGATACCCTGATGCACATGAAATCATCATGAAAAGGTTAAACAAGAATATGATGAAATTAACATCATTTGCTTCTTCTTCTTCTTCTCTTATTCATTCTTCAGAATGTAATTGATATACAGAATAAATAAATTCTAGGCTAATCATGATAATCAGTAGAAATAATAATTGCCAAAAATGACCAGAAAAACTGTCAGTTAACATTTTTATAATAGTTTTCAATGCTTTTTTAAATGATTATTAAATGGAAAGGAAAATTTCGTTTTTTTCTTCTTGATGGAAAAAGATTGAATCATGAAAAGCTTCAAGTTGAAATGTAATCAGATCATGAATGGATTGATCAATATTGACCAATGATCAACCATGTAACCTGTTATTATTGGGAACAAAAGTTGAAATTGAAATGACTATGCATAGGACTTGAGATGGCAAGTTGAAGGTAAAAATGATTTTGTTTTTTTTTTCGTTTCTCGTTTTATTTTGGAAAAAAACTGATTTTTCTTTTTACCAAATCATGGCAAGTATAAAATTGAAAGTTAAAGAAAGCTTTACTAGTGATATCATGATTGTTGATCATGAGAAAGTCAATTGTAAATCAATTGGTTCTGCTAATGATTTATGGTTTGCAATAGTTTGGAAACAATGAACTTTCACAAGAGCATTTTGTCAATAATTAGATGTGAATTGAAATCAAAACTTGCAGGAGAAGAAGGTGATAAACATTGAGAGTTGACTAGTTATGAGGAGAAAATCATGGAAATAGAACTGAATTTACTGGATATTAATATCGTTTAGAAGATGAATAGAAATGAATAGTTGAAAGAGGTTCAGATGAGGCTTTACTAGTAATCCCAATGAATACGAGATGTTGATGAAAAGGTAATGTGAAAAGGTTGGTGAAACTGAAAGATGAAAAGTCAGGGGAGAAAGGAAAATGTTCATGGCAAAAGAATGCAATTGGAATGCCAGTAAATCTGGTCAAGCTCAATAAAATTAGAGCAAAACATGACTTTTGCTTATTCAATGAAAAATGGTTTACAACAATATGTTTGCAAGCGGAAAAAAAGATTAAAAAATGAGGCAAAAAAGTACTTATTTATATCAAAACATTAGCTACAAAAAATGGAGTAAAAGTGATAGTGAAAAATGATAATGATGATGATGTTGGAGATGAAATAATGAAATTAATGGGAGGAAAGATGAGAAGAAAGTCTTCAAGTATTTATAATAACATTTAAACCTGAAATGGTGGGAAGACAAAGAAGAGAGAGGATTATATCATCATCATTATCGGTATCATCGTCATCTGTACGTTACTGGGTCGTAAATTTTTCTTCGACTCATTTCTCATTTCGTCAGTTAATCACCTTTTAAAGGAATCAGATGAAAATGGCAAATGATGATACTGATGATGATACCGATGATGAGAAGGATAAAATAGAGAAAAATAAAAGGAAAGTGAATCAAAGTAAACAATAGAGTTGTTTTGTGTTTGATTAAGCTGGTAAAAAATAGATGAACAATTTAAACTTAAATCGTTAGTCCAACTTCACCTTACTTTTTTGTTCATTTCAATTTTTCATTCTTATATTACTTTTTTTTCATCTTCCTTGTAGCCTCAACATTGACCAGTTTGATCAATTCATTGAAGAACCAGCAAAAATAATAAGTAAACATATTTATATGATGATGAGAAAAATTGTGGGAAAATGTTGAGTTCGGTTAATGGTCGTGTTGGATGTACGTGTGTGTGTTGTGTGTGCAGAGTTGGGTTCTAATTAATGTGTCATTTGCAGACAATGGGAATTGAATGTTGATTAGAAGTGGGAGTTTGGGTGGATTGAGTTTTTTGGTCAGGTAAAGTTGATAATTAACATTTAAAGATGGGTTACAAATGTTATAAAGAGAGAGAGATATGCGAACCTTTTTTATAATGGTAGCTTTGCGAATAGATTTGGGCATCAAATTGTTGGTTAGTCGAGGATTTGGGACAAAAAGTGAGTTATACAAGAACCAATATAAACACCAGCCACATGTAAAGGCAATGATCAAATAAGATATCATGTTATGTATAAAAGGCGATATTAGAGGGTCGAGATTGGCAATGGAACCAGGATAAAAGGTAAAAGGTAAGTTTCACTTTTAAAGTTGAAATGCTTTTCAATTTAGAATAGAAAATATTCTCATTTTTTCTTCTTTTTTTTCTCTTCTTCGAACTATTTTTCTTTTTTTCTTCTTCTTTTCGATTGAGAAAAGTGTTTCTTTTTGCTTGCTTGCAATCTTGTTATCAAGATATTTCACGTAAACACATGAGCACATTTATGCACATTGATGGTTGAATTGAATAAATCTGGGTGAATGGTAAAGCATGATAGATATGAGGAGAGAAAAGCAAAATTGAAGAATAAGCAGAAGAAGATGAAGATGAAGATGAAAGAAGATTTTATAAATTGAATTAACAGGTTGTAGTATTAAAGTAGTTGAAGTTGATTTGTTGTTGTTGTTATCACAAAAAGATGATGAAAATATTATCCTTAAAGGACACTGAGGTGATTGAAATAGACAAATTTGTTGTGTCAATTGGCATTAACAGAGTACCTGAAAGTGGAGCTTAATAAGCTTTCGATTTTTTTTACTAGAGTTTCGAGTGAAAACTCGATGGTTCAATGATGAACAATACGATAAATAAAAAAGGTAATCAAAGTGGATATTTGAACAAGAAGACTGGAAAGACTGGGAAAAAATGTGAGTTTCAAGAGCATTTCATGTTCATCTTGTTGTTACTGTTGCTGTTGATGTTTTTTCATGTTAATATTGATGTTTGTACTCTGTGTGTCTATGGAAGGCAAAGGCAACAATGAAAGTGAAACTCAATGTACACAGGATGATAGATGATGATAAAAGAGAGAGAGGGAAGAGAGTTATGATGATAAGGTAAGAAGAGGAAGTGTGAGTGAGAAGGCAAAGGATATCGCGCAACATGCTATCAATAAAGTGCAACGAATCGATTCTGTGAACTAAGAATATGCGCTCCTGAGAAATCTTTCAATGTTATTAGAAGGGAAAAAAGTTCCTGAGAAGAAAAGGAAATGTTCTTTATTCACAATCTAGGAAATTTCTTTCCTCGGTATTTACGATAAACCTTTGAGTTTAACTTTTCTATCTTTTCCTAGTTTTGTTTTGTACCTTTTTTTGGGTGTTCAGTGTTTTTATTGGGAAGGGGAAAGGTGACAAAAATGGGTAAATTGCTATTTACATGGATTGCAAAATGAATAATGAAATGTATATAAAGAAATGAATGATGGATCAACATGCAGAATCGATAGGAAATATTAAATTCTCTCAATGTCTTCTGTAGTTTTCATACTCGGTAGGAATACACATTAAAAGGTACAACATTTTTGTGTAACCTTTTTTTTTTGTTCACCAACATTTTAACCACAATTTTTAGCCATTGTTTTGTCTGTGTAACATTAGAGACTCATTCTTATTCTTTGGCTTGTTTCTTCTCTTGTCTTCTTCCTCCCTTCTTCATCTGCAATGCATAAATGTTCAATTCTATTGAACCTTTAATTGATTTGAATCATGAATATAATAATGATGATGAGTGAATGAAAGTAAAGTCAAGAAGAGAATGGAAAATGTACAAGAAAATCTCTTTTCTTTTTACTTCTTCTTCTTCCTTCTTACAGACATTAGCTTAAGGTTATCTTTTAACTAAACTCACAAAAAAACTCAAGTTACCAAAAGTTGTAAAGTATGATAAACAAATCAGTAACATTGGTAAAGAGAAAGCAAAGTTGTAATGAAGAGAGGAAGAGAAGAGAGAGAGAAAGAGAGGCCAAAGAAAGGGAAGAAGAGGAAAATATAAGAAACTAAATTGAAAGAGGAAAGAAGGGAAAGAGAGGCTAAAGAAAGAGGAAAGAGAAGGGAAAATGAAAAAAGTAAGAAAGAGCTGGTAAGATGTGGAATAAGCGATAGCAACAAGACATAGAGTGTTGAGAGTGGACAAAGAAAATTGAAGCTTACCTTTGGATGGAAAATGTTGCTACAGGAAAAAGATTTGGTGTATTCGGGTTTACATTGATTGGGCTGATTTTGTTGATGAAGGGATGTTGATGAGTGTTGTTTTTGTTGCTCTTGCTGTTTCTTTTTGTGTTTAAGGTAAAACTCGAGAAGAGCCTTTTTCTGTATCGCCTTGAGATCATTTTTTTTACTTGTCTCGGCTTGTAAAGGTAAAGATGGGCTGGTTGTTGTTGTTGTTGTTGTTATCCAACAATTAGATTTAGGTGGCAATGGTGGTGGTGTTAGTTTGGATGAATGTCGAGGTGGTGGCGGTGGTGGTTGCTCTGAATCAGTTGAGTTATCCATGGAAAACACAGCAACATAACAAGGAAACTTGTTGAGTATAAAAATCTCTGGTCAAATTGGTTGGTAAGAAACTGGTGAACAAAATTTAAGGAAACCCAGGAAAAAACAAAAAGGTAGAGAAGAGAAGAAGATGATAAACAAAACAAACAACACACACTAAACAACAAATTTTTGCTGCTCAGACCAACATACAGCCAACCAAGAAACTAATTGTTAACAACTTTTTCAAACTGATTTTTCTTGGAATCACTGGTTTTGCAAAAAAAAGGCCAACAAAAAACTCACTTGACAACAACGCCATCTACCATTGGTATGACCAACTACAAGTTGACTTAAAATTGAAACGTCCATTAAACTTGGACGATCACTTGCACTGTCTGGTCACAGACTTTTTTGACCAATTTTTGATTGTCAAAATTGAAAGCTGAAACAACCATTAATTAACCAGTCGGAAGATTCAGCCATTTATTAGTTTATCGATCAAATCAATTGAATCTAAATGAGCTTGTATTAGGTTTGTGTAAATGGTTAAACATGAAATGTTAACAGATGTTCAAAATTGATTCATTTGTACGGTAATGCAGTAAAGTGATGTTCAATATGAATACTGTTTTCGGGCAAATTTTTATCGCTTCATTTGATTTTATTTTATTTGAATATTCAGATGACGACGTATGTCGATAAATGAGCGTTTTACATGAAAGAAAGGAAAGAAATGACATCAGAATGCTTAGACCTGATAAAGACTGGACTTTTCTTAAGAACGAATAAGAAATTCTTATCGTTGTTAATCAAGTTTGTTTGAAAGTAAATGTTCTTATGAATGTTTCAGGTTTCAGATAATGCAGTGGGTGCCATATACTCATCTCAAAAAGTAAAATTAAACCTTAAAAAGCAATCAAGCTTTTGGACAAACGGCAAATGCAAGAAACTACTAGACCGACGCTAGTCGATCAGTTGAACCAGCTGACTCTTAGAAAGCTTAGACATACCGATTAGGAGGCTTTGTAAAGGCTTTATCTCTTCGCATGTGACTGAGCCATTATTCCCATCATTAAAACAGCCTTGTTTCTCCTTTAAACTGCAGGGTAAGCGGACAAGATCATTTCAATTTCATTCAATCTATTTCACTCGAATAACTTGTTGACTTGACAGACTAAGTCAACCTAGTCAATACTTGCTCGATTAACTTGGACTGGCGATATTTTCACTGTTATGTAAATGAAAGATTTTTCAGGATTAAACTTCTGGTAATCAATTATTCAAGATGATCAATCAATACAGTTGTTTCAAGTTTATCAACATTTTTGTCACAATAATAATGTAGTCATGAATAATGAACTTACAATTAGTCAGACCAACTAGTCTTTAAACATGTGAATAAACAGACGTTACATTATGGCTCGATGTAAAAGTGAAAAATGAAATGTTTTACTGAACAAAAACCAAGATTAATTATCAACAATTGCGCAAAATGATAAGTCAATACAATCATTTCAAGTTTTATCATTGATTTATCAACTTGTCCCAATCACAATGCAAAATAATCAAATGAACCTTTATCAAGTTTATCTTAATTTTGATTAAAATAGTTGTTTCGTCAAAATAATCAAAAATGATGAAAAAATTTGACTTTGACATTATTTGAAACCATGAGCTTGACTACTAACTGAACATGAAAACCTTGATCAAAAGGAAGTGATTTACATATTGAAACAATTGTTTGAGCAATCGAAACAGTAATTGCTATCAAATTGATCAAAGCACATTTAGTATTGAAATTAAATTGCCATTCAACGTTTTCTTCATTTCAAGATGTTCCTATTGATGTTAATCAATTTATTCAAAAGTCAATTTTGTGTTAATCTTTCCAATTTAAACTCGGCTTCAACTTTTCAATTAACTTGAACACCATTCAGTTGATTATTTCAATTCAATGTCCTACCTTTGCCGACTATTCAAATCTTGAAATTGATTAACGGCTTTTTAAAGGTTTACTTTTGCTACTAAGATCAACAAGCTTGGTATTCAGGTGACAAGGAAAACTTATTATCAGACTAATTGTGTGATTATTTAATCTTCAATCTAATTGCTTAATTGTTTCTCTATTCGCTCTAATCATCATCTGATTACTTGACCTGTAACAAGATCTAATTGGTCAAAGTTAATTTAAAATCATTTCAAGACTGCAACCAGTTTATCAACAAAACCAACTCTTATAATCAAAATTAAATACAACAAGAGTTGAAGTCAACGAGATCAAGAACGAAATGTGAACAAAATCATTCAAATGAACGCTTCGCTTTTTTGCACAAACAAATTGCACTTCACCACATAACAGTAAACAGACTAAATTAAGAACTTAAATTGAAAACTGAGTTTGAATCAAAATTGATTAAAATCTGATTTCGTCACAAGTTCAGTTCGATTCCAGTAAACATTTTAAACTTTCCATGTTGATCTAAACAATATCGGCAAACTTTTCTTGACCTTTTCCCATTCTCATGCATTTTAATCATTTTCAATATTCACCGATGACAACGAATTATTCAGCATCTAGTGAAAGATGTTCAGGTCATAACATGAAAAATGAATGCGTTTTCTGGTGCGTTGGTTAAGTTGGGTTTGGTTGCTTTCACTCGACTGTCGACTGACAATAAATGATCAATTGTTACCAGTTTTGCACCTTTTTAGCATCTTTTGTTCTTACACCTTATTGGACCCTTTTGTTAATTAACTGTACAACAATTATCTTATTAACAATCTTAATTGACTTTTCTTTCTATTCAACAGGCAATATTAATCATTAAACTGTTCATTTTTTGGGCTCTTGATTTCATTTGCTTTACTTGTTGCTTTTTGTGTTTTAATGTTGATTCAAGTTTCAAATAGTAATGACCATTTATGTGTGTGTGTTTAATTGTACTTTTTTAATTATATTTATTATTTGATTAAAATTGTGTGTGTTGGCTAAGTTATGCTAACTAGCCTTTGATCCATACGGTTAACCTTATTAACTTTTTGCCACTGAATAATCAACTTTAATTCATTAAACGATATTATGGTTGAAATGAAGTCCATTTGTTTATTAGTTGAATCATTTTCCCATGAACTTATATAACTGAATCAATTCGGGTTATCATACAATTGTAGCCTTATATTTGTTCACTTTAATTGTGTTCACTTCATACTGATCTATTTGGCTGCTCAGTTATTTAATTTAGTCCATTTTTATACACAATCAAGACAAATGTTGTCTTTAACATGGTGATCTGTTTTACAATCAATAAGCCTTTCTTAATGTTAATTGTAGCTTTTCTTTACGAAAGTTGATTTGATTGAATTTCTGCAAAGGTAGCATTGCAAGCTCAGTGGTTGAAGAGTTGCAAAGTTGTAAAAGATAAAGGGCTGCAACTGGCCGGGAAATCTATTCGCTACTTACGAGGCAAGTAACCTCGTTGGTATGGACATATCAAAAGGAAAGTGAGTTTAAAGAAAGCCCATGTAAACCCGTAGAAAACTAATCTCCTATGGAGCGAATCGAGCTGAAAAAGCGAAGTTCTTTTTCAACCAGAGGTCAAAATGATTAATAAAAGCGAACTGGAGATTGATTTTTTTCTCAAGATCCTTTTATTATCTTCATAGGGAAATATCTATGTCATCAATTCGTTACGACCAGTGTCGACTCTTCTTATAAAACCATTAACCGCTTTTTTTCAATGCATGTGATGAGACGGTTGATGTGTTCGTAACGCCAGTAGCTCCTACTAGACCTGGTTCCGAGGCGTAGGTTTCTTACCTCCACTGCAAAGCTGTGATACAAAGATTCACTCACCACTTTAGGTGCTTACTGAAAACAACAGACACATGTTGAACTACCATAATTACGTCTAATATAGTCTAAAGTTATAGTCTATAGATATAGTCTAAAGCCAAAATAAATCTTTTCTAGCTGTGTTGTAACTTATAATAAAAAACATTTTGAAATCCATCTTGGATCGACCTCCGTTTCAATCTTTTCATCTTGGTCGATCTTGGACTCGATCTTTAATTTTTTTCGATCATAAGATCGAGATTTAAAATTGCCGATCCTGCAATCTCTTAGAAGTGTTTCATAAAAGAAACGGCATTCACACTGAAACTAGCGAGTGTTAAGTTACAACTTTTTGTTGTCCAGATAATGATTTCAATTTAATTTTCAATATTTACGATAAAATTACTATAGTACATATAACCGAAGAAATTCGTGCTAATTCATCTAATTATGAATTACTTGGTATTCTGTACCGCTATTGTGAAACGTAGTTGATAGAATAGAAGTAATAAAAACTAATTTGAAACTCTTAAATATGAAAGTTTTGGTTGAATATCAACCAACCAAAAATTTTGAAAAAAGATCGTATGGGATCGATTAAAGCTCGATCCTGAATCGAAGTTTTGTCTAACGATCCGAGGGTCGGATCAATCCTAAAAAACAGCGATCTTCTCAGGTCTAGCTGGAATAGTCCTTCGGTTTTCCAAAGTATGATGAACGCAGTTGTTAATTTGGATAACGGACACTTGTTTTGGTCTAACAGTCTGTTAACAGTGGGCTAAAAGTTGTTTCTGTTCATTCTGAATTTCATGGTTTTTCCATTGCTTTTCAATGGGAGAATCAGCAACTTTGAACTGAATTGCAATTAACGAAAACGCATCTCTTAATACGATATGTCACTCGACGAGCTAGAGTGAAAACTTGAGTGCTTTTTGATGAACTCACAATACTTTTCTGTACAATTTTTAAGATTCAAATAGATTTAATCATTGTCAGAAGATGGCGTTAAACTCTTTGATAGTGGTTTCTGATTTTGGCGGTTTCTTCATAAGATTAAGATGCAATAAAATAAAGTATAAAATCTTGACTTGATCTGATCTTGTTTAATTAATTAATCATTAATTTTATCATTTTTTATTTTGATTTTGCATGTTATTCCATTATTTTTTTTACTGTGAATCAATGAATAATTCTTATTTTCTATTTAACATGTTAAATCTCAGTTATCAAACTAACGTTAATGTAAAGTTAATTTAAGGATAGCCTCTTGTTTTCTGTGTTACGCTCTGTCTGCATCTAACACAACTCAATCCATTGATTTAGCTATCAAAAAGGTTAATTTTGGTAATTTTAGTCCTTCTGTTCATCTCAAGGGCTTGGTTAACTTATTTATTTAGCTATTCGTTTCTCCTTTAAACCTTTATCATCTGTGAACCAAATAGAAGCTAATCTATTTCTTGTGATTTTTACTTCAACTCTGTTTCAGTTTACTCAAAAGTATGAACAAAACCTGGAAAGTCAAAGGCCAAGAGAGACGAGGAACCATCAAGATGGAAACTTGGAAGATTACTAATTAATGAAAATCAAATATCTAATGCAACAACACCAAGCAATGGACAAAGATAAAGATTTAAAGAGATGTTAACAAAAGCTTATATTACGTGATTTGTTTGAATAACAATTATAACTGTTATCATAACCCATTAGGACCATGTAACTCATAATCGATATGAATAACAGCCAGATTATGGTCATTAATTGATTAAAGTGAAAAGCCTAGATGAGCAAATGGAAGCTCAAAAGATATCATTTCTGTAGCATGGGCATTATAGTGAATTTCAGAGACAAAAAAATGCCTAATGATCAAGTAGGACCCAAATGGTATGTATTTTTAATAATAATTTACAGTTTTACATGTAAAGACAAGCTGGATTTTTGTTTTTGCTAATCATATTATTATTACTTCTATAGGATGGCTAGAGTAACGATAAATCTGACTGGCTTGGTATTATAATGGGTAACAATGATTGCAATGGTTGAACATTATCATCAATAATGCTGGAATTGGTGAATACCATTAACATGGAGATGATTAGTCTATTTGAACATCTAAACATCATTAGCCACCATTGATCAGGGTAATAACAATATTATTAATTGAAGAATTGAATATGAAAAAAAATTATTGCCATGAAAATGTAATCTTGTAATTTATTTTGTTTTCCAGTTATTCTTGTGCCTGGTTCTTAACCCAATGTGTTTACCCAGATTTGTCAACTCTTTTTCTGGTTGGACCTTAATTGATGATGATAGGCCATTGTGATTGCTGATCTACATGTACATCGATTATTAACCTGATTGCAAGCAGATGAGAAACAAGAAATTCAAGATGAAACTGCTTAAATTGAGTGTATCGCATTTCACTGTGCTATGGGTAAATGACCTTTTTCTTGCTTTATTTTTTTTGTTCATATTGTTGTCATTTTTATGTTTAGTGTACTTAATCATTGTAATTGAGTAAAATAGATTTCAATGTTTGTTCATGTCTTCTTTTTCTCTGTTTGTTTTACCCTTAACAGGCTCATCATCAACAATCAAGGCTCAATATTGAATGGTTAAACAGAAATGCTAAACCTTTAACAGTCGATTATTAATCTTGCCTCGCAATCTGTATTTCTAGGTATAGTGTCCGTTCACCAAACTAATTCTTGAGCAAACAAAACAAGAACATGTTTTACAGCTCTAAACAAAAATAATCTTCCAGCTTTGCTTCGAGATTATCAATTAGTTGTTTCAAATCTAAGCTTTGAATGAACATATTTTGATCTATTTTTTATTAAAATTCATATGGTTTGAATATGCCATGAACAGATCATGAACACATTAAATCAATCAAATATAAAGTATAAAGATGGCAGAAGCAGGTAATTCTAATCATTTTTAGTTTTGGTCATTCACCAAAAATATGCTCGACTTAATGATCACATTTTAAACTGATAGTTATATCAATAACGCTACTCCATTAACTGAATACTTAGACCTTTGTTATGATATAATGGGCTTTGATTAACCCAAAAATTAACATTGACTCTGACTTGAAATTAAAAGAAAGTTAAAAGCTGTAAAACATTTTCAAGCTTTTGTTTACTCAAAGAATTAGTTTGGTGAACGGACAGGGAACCGTATTTCTATGGTTAATAGAATTTCCAAGTCAATTTTAATTTATTTGAAGAGACAAATCGTTGCTGACAAAAGTTAATTGACCATGAAACCCAAACACAAGTTCACATCATATCACGGAGCAAAAATGCAATTCAACAAATTACCAAGCAAATTACAATGCAAGATAAACTGGAATATATTGTCAACTTAAATTATTTTGTAATTGATTTGGTTAAATTGAGTGAAACAATTTGCAAAACAATGATCAACCAAAAAGGCGAAATGTAACATGAAAAGTAATGGGAAAAGGTTTCAACTTGCAGACTATACACATCTATATCAATTAAAACCATGGATCAGTCGATGAACAATGTTACCGAACCGGTTCAAGTAAACAAAACATATCTTATCAAAATCTATGGATAATAACATTAGGACCATTAGCATCGTGATGTTAAGAAAGCAAGAGGACAATTGAGATGTTAATGAAAACCCAAAAGATGTATGAAAATGTTTGCTGGTAAACAAAAACATGTGAACAAAAAAGATTCCCACATTCATTTCATATTTCATTTTGCTTTCAAGTAAGTAATTCAAATATGAACACTTTCAGTTCAATGGTAACCTTTTTTTACTTTCATTTCATTTAGTATTCAACTTTCATACCAGGATTGGATTAAAACAATAAACTGTAAACAAGGTTATCCCAGAAGCGAAGGTTCCCTCAAGCTCACGACCAAATGTAACAAAGCAATTAATTAACTTAATTAAAACCTGTCTTGGTTAATTGTGAATCCAATGTGGGAAAAAAGGAAAAGCCCAAAGTTGATTCTCCTTTCATCGCAAAAAAAAGATCTAAAATTGAAAAATCTAACTGTTGGATCTATTATGGATGGCAAAATATTCACAATGTATTAATGTTATACTTTATACACCAAGGTATTACCTGGAATCAGCCAAATTGGAACATTAAATTCATGTTGATCATGGAAACAAAAAGAAATGGCTTCAACAATGTTATAACAAAGACTTGGACCAACAATTGAATTTTGATAAGCTCAAATAATGTGTACAATTAGACACAATGTTATGATGACAATTGAGTCTATTATAATAAACCGATAGATGATTGACTCTAATTGAGAGTAAATCTTGAAATTGTCAAAAGCAAAAGACGCAAACCAAGTTAATTGTATAATGTCAAATGAACATTTAATCAGGTTGATTAAACCTTTTTTTTCAATTTCAAGGTTATCAATAATATTTCATTCTGTTACTAAAAAAGACATCAAGTTCTACAATGAACAGAATCATGATGAAAATGTTGATGATGAACAAGAATATATAAGAAGACAAAATTAAGATGAAAAGACAGGAAAAACCAAGATTTTAGTTTCTATTAGATACAACTTTTTGCTCCTTCTTCAATCGACTTCAACACACTCATCATCATGATGATCATCTTTATCCTTATTCATGCGCATGTTTCCATGATTAACAGAACTTTCAGTTTCTTTCATTTTCTTCAACTTCATTTGAAGTCTCAAATTAACAGAGTAAAGTCACACTTCATTAAAGATTGTCAAATACTTTATTTTAACAACTTAACCATTACCATTACTCATCAAACGTAATAACAATTTTCATCATTGTTCATTTTCATCTGTAACATTATCATGAAATGTTTCCCTTTTTCACTCCAAAAATCATCTTAAAATGTCTACTCTTTATGTTGACCAATTTTATACTTGAACCTCATAAGTGACAATCAAATTTGATCAATTTAACAATAGGTGACAATTGATCATTTAAACTGGATTTGAAAGTTAACGATTAAACACACAATCAATTGAGAAAAGATAAAAATTGGAATAAATTGTTGAACTTTTGTACAGCAGAAAAAGCAATGGAATTACTAATCAATTCATCAATGATTCCAATTGTTAAAGATTGGAAAAGTTTATGTGCATTCGAGAATACCCAAGTGTCTTCATCATCTCTATCAAGTTCATCTGAATCTTCATCACCCTTTTCATCATCATCATCATCATCATCCTTTGAGTGCATCGATTTAATAACCTTTCTCAACAAATCTGACCTGGAAAGCCTTTTAACTCTGTATAATGATTCACTGGTTACCGACCCATCCTTTGCCTTTGCCTCGTCCGTGTCCTCATCCATCTCAGGTTCATCTTTTACTTCATCCTCTGCCTCTTCAGCTTCAGCTGGAAGCAGTAAATTTGTACCCGAACTTGTGGTCCAAGTCATTTGGTCCATTGTCTTTGGACTAATGATACTGGTTGCCATGGTGGGAAACACGACAGTCATCTGGATTGTCACTGGTCACCGGAAAATGAGAACAGTGACCAATGTTTTCCTTCTCAATTTGACCATTGCCGATCTCATTATGGCCACTTTCAATGGTGTCTTTAATTTTGTTTACATGCTTCACTCTCACTGGCCTTTCGGTCAAACCTATTGTAAGATTAACAACTTCATTGCCAATGTAACAGTCGCCTCATCTGTATTCACCATTACAGCAACATCCATTGACAGGTAAGCCTCAACCAGTCTAACCGAACTAAACAAACTAAAAGGTAAACTTTACTCCCAGTATTAGACTACACTCGACTCTAGACACTTTGACTTACAAACTTGACTTGACACAAATTCAAGCCACTTAATGTGCGCTTGAAAAAAAAGTCTTAATCATTTGCTGAAAATCTTGCAGTTCATCTTTTCCGTTCCAATGTTCACAACAATTCATCAATGCTTGCAATATTTTTGACAGATTGTTGATTCTGTCATTAATTTGATAATCTTTACCGATTGATGTATTATTCTTGTTGTAACTCTCTCATTGATTGATACCTCAAGTGTATGTTTACCCTGTTAATCAACCTGAAAAACGGTTTAATCAACATTTTAATTGAAATTACCGAACACAAAAAAGGTATTCTCTCGAGTAGTTAACAAATTTTGCTTTTACATAACATTTATTTTCCTCGCTTTTCGCCTTTACTTTGCAATATGAATAACATTTCCGATGAAATTATTTCCGTCTTGTTAATGATCTTTAATCCATTCTCTGTGGTAAACAATCATCATTATCGTCATCAGACTAATGATGTATTCCCAATCATTGCTCATGTAATTACATTATATAATTGTTTTGCTAACAGTGTTGTGAACAACAATGTTGATCATTTATTAATTTCTCATTCATTTGGAAACCAACTCTTACCTTCATTAATTCAATCTCATTTCACCGCTTCTCTAAACATTTCAAGTTAATAAATCATTTAATCACAAGAAAGATTAACCGCTAAGCCTGAGATTAGTCAGATCAATTGAATCGTAATAAAGTAAACATTTTCCAGCAAACAGTAAACTCAAAGCAGATCGATAAGTCCATTTAGACCGCTGGTCATTAGCAGTTAAATCAAATTTGTAAAGCTCAATGGAAATGCCTATTCAGATTGCATCGACTTAACCATTGATATCCTCAAAATTATCAGCCTTTTGTCACATTAATGGTGCAAAATAACTCGATGATGGAAACTCAAACTGGATGAAATGTGAAAATCTGACAATCTTTTGAAAAGAAATAAAATTTTATCAGTTTCAAATCGAGTCTCAAAAGATGGATTTAGTCAAATGTTTCAATCCGATTATCATTTTACATATTATGTTAAACCTTTGATTCTAGTGAATGTTAACCTTTTCAATTGACTTAATATTTTTGTATTAAAATATAATAAAATCTGGTTAAATCAAAATCATAATCTCAGTAGTTATCTAATTATTTGACAAGTGTTACAATAATAATTGAAAAATAATGAGCAAAGACTTGATGCCTTTACTGGTAAATGGGTTCAGTTTATGAGCCTTAATAATTTACTTTTGGTGTGATGAGTGAAGATATCTTTGAATTTTGTCCTTTCATCAACTCATAACAAGCTTGTTTAATGGCTCTTGACATAAAGGTAAATTTAGCTTCACCTACGACCTGAGTAAAGTTAACCTTTCAACACATTTCTTGGTTACTTCATGGAACCAAGATGTAAATGGAAGCTCATGAAAAGTTCATGGCGATGGTTCATTAAATTTATTTTTTTGGTAAAACTTCTATTCTTGATGTGTGAGAATCGCCACTGAAAATGTTGTTTCAATTGAAATTGAATTTAAATTTATTGATAAAACACTTGAATGGTATTATGGATGAATAAATTCTGATTACCTTGAAAATTGCGCAGTCATGAGTCTGGAAATCACAAAATCCATTATCAACAGCATTCATCGAACGTGCAATGTTTAAAATCTTCTGTTGAATGGTTACTTGACGCTAAATTATTTCTTCAAGTATTTGCACATTTTGTACATTTGCACACAACTTTTAACCTAAATCTTTCAATTTACAAATTGTGTTTCAAGAATTTAAATTTTGATAAAAACACATTTTCTATCAAATTTAGTCAAATTTTGTTGCATTTCATTTTACCAAAAATCCAAATTGATGCTTGGCTCATGGTGAGATTTGAAAAGCTTTGAATAAATATCCCAAAATGAGTAGAAAAAAGTTTAAAATCAAAAATTAAGCGTTTCCAGATTAATTTTGAATCTAACACATTCAAGTTTCTAGAGTTTTGAGAAAAACATTTCTAAATTTTACCGAAGATTTTCATGGAAACGAGAAAGAAGAAAACCAAAATTTGAAAATTAAGAGATTGTCTGAAAAGGATTTCGAAGTAAACAAATTGCGTGATTTCATTGCGAGTTTTGAAAAAAGAAAAATGTTCATATTTCGATAGATACTGAACATCGACATCGAAATGATCCATAATTTCCCCAATAAAAACATTCTTTCGACTTTGTGCACACCTTTTCCTCCAAAACTTCAAATCGCCAAACAACTTGAGAGTAACATTGAATAGGAATACGATTGCTTTAAAAACGTCTTACAAATGTTTTGATGAGAATTGCATTCAAAGATTTTATTTTCGAGTTTCGAGGAAACAAAATTATCCAAAAGTTGACCGATTCTGAATATTTACATCGAAATAAAATGACTTTTCCAGCAACATTTATTCAAAATCTCCAAAACTCCAAAGTCAACAGAATTGAATACGATAAACTTTTAAATTGTTTTAATCGTCTCAACGAATTGCATTCGAATTTCGAGTTCAAAGTCAATTAAAAATCGGATAAACTACAAGATAAACAGCGATGATGATGGGCACTTTGATAGGCAAACAAAAAGCCCAAACAAAGAATCGATTTAAAATAAGTTATAGCCATTATTAATGAATATTAGTGAAAAAGCTTTACATTAAAGTTAATGGGCAAAGTTAAACTTTAACGCGAAACTAAAGTTAAACCCAAATCTCAAGATAAATTGTTGCAAAATGTTTTCTTCTTCAACTGTACTTAGCATTTGGTATTTCAAATGTTATCGTAACAATCATCATCATGATGATGGAGTTTAGCACCATGAGAAAGACAAATAGACAAGAATAGGAAAAAGGAAAACAAAAAAGTTGAGACATTTTGCTTTTCTTGCCTTTTTGAAGGCGCAAAAAGCCAAAAAACAAAACAAGAGTCAAACGTGAACAAAATGAAATGACACTCATCTAACTGTTAACACTTGCAGAAAATTGATATTAAAAATCCAAAAATGATTGCCTCCTCACGAGCTTCAAAATCTCATGGAACAAGATATTGATTTCAAAAGTTGAAAACCTTTAACCCATTGACATCTACCTTTAGTCTCATCCTTGTCAAGCTATCATTGAGATTTCCATTGAAACGAAATTCAATCAAAACCAATTTCATTCATTACCACGATTAGCATATTTATGCTTTGTTTTGTTTTTCGGTAAAAGTTTAACATTTCATTGAATTTGATTTCACCAATAAACACCTGAAAAGCCAATATAATGACATTTTTGCAAGTAAAACGCATTTTCATCTCATTGGTAAAACCTGAGCGTTTTATGTTTCAATTTGGACAATCATATTGTCTGGAAATGATGAAACTTTTACTTCTTTTTTCAGTCCTTTTGCCATCTTCTTGGAGTTTTTATTTTCATTAAAAATATTACCTGAAAGGATAATGATCAATCATTTTTCGAGCAATGAAAATGCCTCATAACCTGAAGGCTTTTCTTCAGGTAATTTTGTCGACATTTTTTTTTGTTTCCATGTTTATCTTTCCTTCCAATCATTCCAATCGTTTCAATCAACATCATTCCCTACAAGCTTAACGTCTTAATCTTGAACCTGTTATTGCCATTTCATCCCATTGTTATTAATAATAACCATTTTTCATGCTTTGCAATATTAGTATTAATGCGTTAGCTTTAGTTTTTCATTTATTTTTCACTCAATGGGCAACATTTTGCAGCCTTTAATCGCCTTCTTTGCACCCATTTTTCATCCTCATATTCAAAGTTAATAATTTTGTGGCTGAGGTTCCTTTAAAACAATAAGATTTGATTTTGAATCACAATTCTCAGACTTGTTATTGTCATAAATAGCACTTCATTTAGGTTTAATAAGTAGAGTTAATTTGATTCTGATAAACTCATTTCAGTCATAATTTTTTCGTTCGTTTAAAGACTTTTGCCAGTTTTGTCTAGCCAAAGGCAAGCTGGAACCAATAAAGTCGAGGTAAAACGTCTTGTTTGTTCAACTTGCGAATTGAAACATTCAAGATTTCAGATATTTATCCATTAATATACATTTACTTTCTTGGCTCAACATTAGGAGGCAAGAAAGTCATTGACAAACATTAGGAATAACATTTTGAACAATTTAACCAAATGTAGCAAAATAGAGATTCCAAGTTGAATTGGAAATTAAGAAATCTTAATCTATTATTTAATTGTATTAAAGGGAGAAACTTATTCAATGATAATCTGAATAATTGACTGAGTTGTAATCATTATTTCAATACATTAAAGAAATTGAGGGAAACATGGGAAAGAGTTTGAAACCATTTTCAATATGCAAGTTAAACAAAAAGCTAACATCAACAGTTTTGATGTATAATCAATAGCGACCAATGAATAGTTGATGAAGACCAGAAGTTGAAATATGTTAATTATTGATCCTTGAGAAGCAAATGTCCATTTACATTGACCAGTGACAATGAGCAACCATCAAAAGCTGTAGACTAAAGGATAATCGGATTCACAGGTCTAAACATGAGAATCACAGTTTCACACAAATGAACTTGAAAATGATCGACAATGTTAATGGAAGCCAAAAAGTAGCCAGAAATGTCCAGAATTTAGTTGCTGATTTACATCATTTGTGATACATTCCAAGATTATATTACATTTCATGCCATCAATTTACTTCTCAAATGAAGATAATTATTTCTGTTGACACTCACAGTTATTAACATGCAACTGCGCCAAATAGCAATAATGCAATTTATCATTGTTCATGACTTTTGTATTCAATATTCAAATTACATGGGATTCAACTGGTATTGATTGATTCCCCGAGATGAAAGAAGCCAAAAGAAGAAATAACTGGAATTAAGGAATCTA